ACTGATCTAGAACTCATTGTTAATATTGATATTAATTATTTTGATAAAGTAACTGATCAATTGTACATTTAAGAAGATTATCACTGAGTTGATAAAAGCAGTCTCAGACTGATTCTGTGACTGTAAAAAAGAATAAGAATAAAGATAAGAATAAAAACATAACTTTACAAAAGTACACTCACTGTAAAAGATATAAATATACTATTAACAGGTGTTTCCTCTTACACTCTGATAAAAGAAAAAAGAAGATGAACAAGAAGAATGATGATAAAAAGAAACAGAAAAAGAATGACTTAATAAGTTTTCAATCAGCAGTAAATGTAGTAATTATAAACATTAAGTTCTATTTCTCTTTCACAGTCACTGAAAAATCATTCTCTAGATCTTAATATTTGAATATATATACAAGTCTGAATATGACAGATGAGCTTTATTCTTTTTCAAATATTAAATCTTTTAATAATAACATCTCGGTTGATTCTGCAATTAAGAGAACTGAGTTTATCAAGAAGATTGAAACTATTACCTTGAAGATTGAGAGAAGTAATATTAACTTGCAGAATATTTACTATATTTCTAATATTACAGTTAATCTACTCTCATTTATAAAGCTTGAAGATCAGAGATTTTAATTTACATTATCTTTCACTATTTACAACTGTAAGCTTAAAAAGAAGAAACTCTTAACTATCTAAATCTTCAAACTTTAATTCTCTAGCTAAATGTAAACAGAATTTGAATCCTCAAACACCTGTTAAGATTAGAGAATTGAGAAATAACTCTTGTGATAAACTAGATAGAATGTAAGCAGTTGAGATTTCTACTTTTCAAAATAGTTATAATCTATTATCTGATGATAGTAATTAGATTCTACTCTATCTTCACTCTCTTTTAGTATGAATGTACAACAAAAACAATAAAAAAAGTTTAAAAACTCTTCAAAAATTACATTTATTCAAAACAATGTGAATAGAAACTTAAATTGCATTTATTCTTATCTTCAGATCGCATTGGAATAAAAAGTTGACTTTGTACTTCTTCAAGAATTAAACTTTGATACTGAGTAAAAGTACATCATTTCTCATTCAAGCTATTAAGAATACAAAAAGAGAAAAACTTTCAAATCTTTAGAAATAGAAGACTTATTCTCAAAGTCTCAAATCAGAACATCTTACAGAGAAATATAAGAGGCCTACACTGAATAGATTGATATGATATTTATAGATCTTATATAACAAAGTGAAAAACATTAAAGAAGGAAAAGAAAGAGAAAGTGTGAGAATCAGTGATTAAAGTGAATATTTATATGCATATGTAGTGATGTATGCAGTGAAGCTTCAGAGCAGAAGAATTTATACATGTTCATAACAGCTGAGAATCAGTGATCAAGAATTAGACTGGCTGCTGAGATCATGAATTTCATGTTTAATCTCATTTGATCTGATCTCATACATTTCTTGGCGTGAATCCCGCTGGGACTGGCTATCAAAAAAACATGTAAAGTGAATATATATCAGATCTTAAAATGAAATCATGACTTGAAAAAAATGAGAAAGTGGTTTCATTTGATTCCATTTAGTCCCATTCTTGGCATAAAGTGACTATTTTTAGACATTTTAAGGTTTTTTTTAGACTATTTTTAATTTTTTAAAAAGTAATGCTTTTTGATAACACTTAAATGAGATTTAAAGTCATTTAAAGCAATAAAAATAATTTAAATTGAGAAGTGAAAATCATGGTTCTATTTGAAAAATGTGACAAGAGTAGACAGTAAGTCTCACTGAGACAGTATGAAACTACTATCTAATGTTAAAACTGTGTAATGGGATCAGTCGAATTGGTAATGAGACTATCAAAAAATCTGGTCCTGGTCTCAGACACGGTCACACGGTCAGTCTATCAAGAATGACTGAGAATCAGAGCATACACATTTGAGAATGAAGTGATAGAAATCTATGAAGTGTAATAAAATAGTCTATATAATTGATTAGGTGCAGCTCATCAAATTAACTCTCTCTTTTTAAAAGCAGTTCTCATCAGTCAAGAGCTGCTGTTAAAGATAACACAGAGCTCAGAGTTCAGATCAGTTAATCATAGTTAACTCATTTCACATAATATTATCAGCTGCAGCTGCAGAGTCTCTTATTGAGAATATTCTTAATCTCTCACTCAAGCTCATTATCTTCTTCTATAATCTCTGGCAGCTGTCAGTTGAAAGTCAGTTAAGAAGAGAATGAGTCAGTGACAGTGCAGCAGAGCAAGCTTGTATAAAAGATATTATAAATCTCTGATAAGGTATTAAGATAGTAGTTATGACTATCTAGAACTTCTATTACTTTATACTTAGTATGATAATAATTCAGTATATAATATAAGTGTGTGATTCATATATTGTTAAGATTTAATTATATAAGATCTTCTATCTTATACTGCTCTGTGAAATTTTATTAAATATTAACTTAATCTTCTTAATTCTGTTTAGTACTTGTCATGAAGACTTCTGCTCAGTCACAGACATCTCAGAGCTTTATTACTATATTATCAGTGATCTGAATTAAACTACAGAGATTCAGTGTGAACTGTGTAATCTCTAGAAGATTCAACACTTTCATATAATATTTATATATAAGAAAGAACAGGCTTAT